GTATTGATCAATTCTTCCCTGCATTTGTTGCATTTGTTTTTTTTTCTTAGATGAATCTATACTTAGCAAAGCATGTCTTTCCAGAGACGTTCCATGCCGATAAAAACCAGGCTTAGACCAAAGAGAATCAGCTTGAGACGCTCATTTCGAACGCGTCCTTCTGATCACGGCCATTATCTGCGTTGATCATCATCCGGGAGTAAAGGTGAACCCTTTTTCTCTCTTTCTAGAAGTTATATTTCATTCTTAGATTGTTTTGCTTGCTTACTTTAGCTGATTACTGGACTTTGATTATTTATGCTAACGTGTACTATTTTGATTTTCAAGCGCTTTTACGAAAACAAATGGGATGACGATTTTGCGTTGCGATCCCCGAAGCCAAGAAGGGAACGCCGACCTAAGCATAATCCTGTTCTTGAGGAGGTCGGAAGAGTTTCCGCATTATGATTACCATGATTCACCTATGATATAAGCTCATTCCAGGATTTTATAGAAGAGGAAGAAGAGAATGTTAATGACAATGATGAAAGCCGCGAGAATGTCGATTCACAAGTGGATAGTGATCTTCCGGCCGTGCAAGAGCTGAATGAGAAGGCATGTTTTTATTTATGAAACTGAGAAAGTAATGTTCTTCTTTTGCGGTTGCTCATTTCTTAAAATGGTATGAGCTTACAAGACAGTCATTTTCGAAATTTTGGAGGTTATGCGATTTTTGAACTGCGGTTGCTTGTAATGCTTTTTCTGAACTTCTCAAAGCAGATTTTTCATCACATGAAGAATGTCATCTACGGTTCAACTCTGTGCAAAAATTGGCATCAATATTGCCGGTTCCAGTTCCATATTACTTAGAGTACACAATTCCAGTTCAAAATTTACCTGGCATAGCTCACATTTATCGTACCGCATCTCACGAGTTTAGAAAAATCACTCATTTGACTCTCGCCTTTTTTTTCAGTGATTTGTACTCAATTCGGAAGATGAAAGAGTTTATGCACATTGTTCATCCCGCACGTCATCATTTCTGACAGTTGGCTTAGCCGGAATTCGGAATTTACTTACAAGGGAAGGATCATCCATCGAAGTGGGGTTTCCACACATGATGCATATCATTCTGCTGCTCTTGGGGCCCTAATGCCAAATTCGTGATCCTTAGCTGCTCAATGATTTTCTGGGCAAAGTTATGAGCGATGGTTTACCCAAGATGCGGCTAAGGCTCGCATTGAGCTTGCGGCGCCAAGAGCATGCAGATGTGGACGGGTGGTCGAGTGGATACCTGCGGAGACTATGGAGCAAGTGGTAAAGAGTTCGGACCACTTTTGCAGCCACAATCTTTGCAAGTTGTTTAAGGTTATATTAGAAGGTCCCTAAGGCAAGGAAACCCTCATTGCAACTTAATTACATCAAATCTCGGAGATAATGGAAAAATCGTGCAAAGTTCTGAATTGGGCAATGTTGGTAGATCAGTTGGATCAAAAACATGTAAAACAGGTACAATCAACATGGATACTTGATGGGAAGCTTATTCATCATTTGCAATTATGTTTTCGCCGCAGGTGGTAGTGGGGTAGCTAGCTAGAAAGTTCGGTCCATGCGAAGTTCTGCGCAAACCACTCGAAAGGAGCAAAGGCTTTGAGCAAGCTCAGAGCAATTTTTTGAATCACGTTATTGTGTTTTGAGCATTCTGTGATAAACTGCCACACATGCTCATAAATAGTTTGATACTAAATATAAAAACACGTTGACCTGGCATCGTGAGAGTGCACCACCCTTCAAGGTCTTTAGCCACTATTCTCAGTCAACGAGGAAAAATTATTGGTTTCAGGAGTTCAATATGGTTGAAGTCATGGAAAAGTGGCAGAGACCAAAACGCGCGCACAAGCATTATCATTTCCTTTTGGTGCTCGACTTTTTGCGCCACTTCTTTCTAAATGTAAGCGACAGATAGATGAAGATGATAAGGTCGTCTTGTAATCACCGTTTAGGCCTGCGAACCACCTACGGAAATTCAACAGTACGCCTGTAGACAGAGCGGGAAGAAGGAGAAATTTGACCATCTTAAGGACCTCCCGGAAGGATTAGTCGATTTCGTAATAAGTGGGTCAATGTGTGTTTGAGTACATTACTTTCAATAACTGATTTAGGTTTCATCCTTGACGCCCTTGGCCTACACCGCGACCAACTTCTCCGGACGCCAGATGAGCATAAACGGAATCCAAATAAGTATGTATGTTCTCGAAAGACCTTCATGTGCACTAGAATTTAGGTGGTGGTTGGACTTAGCCGAAAATGACGACGCTTGCGAAAAATTATTCGACGTCCTCTCAGAGGAAAGAGTAGTATGGAGCGGTAAGGCGAGGATAGCAAATGGGAGAGCTTTGTGAGTTTTCTCATAAGGAAAGCGATACTTCTGAACTATATTTTTGCAGGGAAGACATCGGGAGGTATCATTTTGACCCTGATAGGTCCATGCTCCTTCCATCAAAGGTAATTCGTTTGTTTTATACGATCCTGGTAACAATAATTTTTTATTTTCAGAAAAAGCGCGTCATGGTCGAAGGCAGCAGTGTTACCAAAGAAGGCGTAACGATCCAGAAGACTGAAAACGTTGAAGATGAAGATGAAGTAGTCGTAAAAAATTAATGCTGTTGTCATTCTTAACCGTAGTTCTTTCGTAACCTTGTGTCGTGATTGCGGTGCTTTGATTCCTGTCTCATTTCGATGTTATTTTAAACGCTACTCGAGAAGATCATGTGGTATTTGCTAATAAATTTTATGACGTAAGACTGGGTTTATCAGCAGAAAAAAAACAAGCGTGGGAAACGGGACCCAACGTGACCAAGGACTCAAGGTAAGTCAAAAGGAAGGCGTGAGAGAGGGCTTAGAGGACGCAAAAAGTTGTCAGTAAGGGCGTAGGCCGCGTGCTCTAAACGCGATCGCGACATTTTGGTGTCTCGCGCAGGTCTCCCCATTTTGCTCCGATTTTGCCGCGCACTTTTGCCGCGACACAAAATCAGGTGTCCTGATTTTGCCGCGACACCGATTTCGCGAGTCGCCCACGCATTCAATGGCTACACATCGTTTTGCCCTGCGCGAGTCAACCGTGAGTGTCTGAGGACGGGGAGGGCGCAAGCTCGTCCGGACGCGTATAAGATGGCTTGCGCGCACGCGTTTATTAGCAGTTTTCTAGGCAGGGGCAGCATGCCGTGTGCTCGGACTTGCCTCGTTCTCATGTTTGGGGTGCAAGCAACTTTAAACATTTTCGAAATGTTCGGTTTTGCCAAGCCAATGCCCCTAAAGGCAGCGTCCGCGCAGAATTTCGCCTCTCATATTTTTGTCGTTCTGGGGCCTTTCCGTGGCGCTGATTACAGTTATAAAGTTCAACTTGTACAAAACCCTCAAAAAACCCAATTCTGTGGACCCTATTTGAGGGCGCGGACGAGTTTCGGATTGTTTATCCCCTCGGCTCGTCACCGAGGAGGAGCTGCAATCCATGATCGATCGATGCGTGAGCACACGTCCCCAGGGGGAGGTTTGTGATACGTATCACAGGCCTGTATCTCCTTTTAAGACCACGTCGAAGGATCGGACCAACGCAGATCGGATACTCATGGGGCCCGCTTTACAACTACGTGCTAATCTGGGTGGATGGCTCAATGGAGTCTGTCTCATGCCCACTGCTTGCACCAAATGTGCTCTTTGATTATTCAAATACAACTGTATATGGAGGAAGCGGTTGTATGGGTGTACGTGCAAAACCGCCCAACCAAATTCTGGGGAAAGAACAAAACTCCGAGATAAGATCTTGCGGATGCAACATGTTAATTAGGCTCAACAAGCTATTTTCAAACAAACAACGAAAGTGGTGGACGGAACCCAAACCACTTTGTGGGCGAAGTAGACGAAGTATAAGTATGTCAAAACGCCGAGCGGCTTAGACTGAATATAGTTCTAATCCTATGACATGCTACGATTGGTGCAGCCATAAAGAATAGAAACAAACAAGGCGTGATGGAGAAATTCATTTGATTGTGGAAGCGACGATGTAGCCATGCTTAGGTGAGGTCCGAGGTTGACAGTGTGGAGTACCTCTGTAGTTACGGAAATGGTCGCATGTCGGTACGATAAGTGAGGTCCACATCCAGCTTGTGACTCCAATTCTCGATTATGTCGCAGAGATTATAGGCCAGAAAGTTGAGAATAAAGCAGCTGCTCTCACAAGATCTGCATCATTTAAGGAAAAAGAGAGCTTTTTCTGCTTTCGATGTTGACATTTAGACAAGACTAGGATAGTATAACTCTTGCGTCTTCATTTGAACTCAACGAATTATTAGAATGCATCCAAGTGAGGTCTGATCGTATAAGTAATAGGAATGTTTTTAGATCCAATAAGATGCAAGATCAATCTATTACTTTCTTTGCTACAAGTGTGTTAGATACAAATTTATTCTGAGGCCATTAAACCTTTCACTCTTTGACTTGCAACTTCGGGAGAAAGTTCGGCCCGTATTCCATGGAGTATTCTTTTTTATCTTTGACTGATGGAATAGGCAGAGCGATAGTACCAGTCGGCAACAGCCACAAGCCTAAGGACAGGATGGCATTACAGACTTATGATGTAGATACTCGGAAAACGTGTCTTTTCTTTCTATCCAGGTAGGGTGGAAACATAACATCCACTGCATCATTCACACCCAGTCAATTTTACCCGAAAAGATGTATAATGCTATAATTAGCGATTAATTTGCATTTTCCAACTGTTAAGTTAATGAGTCTGGTTGAGAGGATTGTGCCTGTTTCTAGTTGGCTATCAGGTCACTAATGTAAGGCATGGTAGGTAGTCCGAGCTAAGTCTGATTATATGGCAACTATCCACATGAAGGAACTTTTTTTAGACAGGATGCAGCCGTTCCAGGCATTCAATGCGAATGAAACATTGTAAGAAACGCATTAGTTGCTATATCCGGAGTCAAAATTTTAACAAAGAAAAAGTCGGACCAACCATGTACTTGAACCATGATAGATTTGGTGCGGAACATCCTTCTGTGGTAACATAGTTTCCTCGATAATTCGCACACATTCTTGATTGTCATCATGGCGGATCTTAGAGGCCTTTGTTATTATATCCGCAACTGCTCGGTAATGTTTGGACGCTGTAGTACACGGTACGTACGTAGGTTCAATGTCATTTCGTGCATTACAAGCACAGTGTCCCGCTCGTCCAGTTCCTAAGTGAGTACGCGGAAATCTCTACGGATCTACGCGTGGATAACCAGGTCAGCGAATCGCGTAGATTCCCATCTAAAGTTGCTAGTCATAGCTTCGCATTGTCTGCTGTAACCTTCACAGTTACAAATAAGTAGTAGTCTCTTCGTACTGCACTTTCAAAGTCAAGATTTTTTTACAGATTCTTATGAGCTCCTAGTTATTAGGCTGGCCCAAAAAATCTGCCGCACTCTTTTCAAAAAATCATAACTTCTTCTTGTCATATTGTTTCTGATTGGTAATAATTTTGTTAGAAGGGATATGTCATGCTCTTTTTGATGACACCTTGCTTACTCTGCGCTGATTGCAGAGATAAAGATGAAAGCGGGAAATCTTTTGAGGTTGTGTCATTTGAGGGAGGCCCGTTAAAACTCAGAAACTAGACGATAGAATTCAAAACAGCCAGTATCATACGTTTCCTGACCTCCTCTTTCTGAATGGCCAAAGTTTGTGCTGGTAAAACACTCCATTAAAATGAGAAAAATTCCGAGAAAAAATTGCCAAAAATCAATCCCTTGATAAAAACGATTTTGGCATTTTCCCCTAAAAATTAAATTTTTTAAAGAATTCCAAAGAAGAGCTCCATCAGCACAAACTACTGTTAGAAAGGAGAGGGTCGGAAGATCTATGATACTGTCTGTTTTGGATTCGCACATTTTTTGAGTTTTTAGTAGGCTCACCTCAAACGGTATCCTTTTTTATTTCTGCAACCAAAGCTTCATAGATGAAAGCAAGGTTTTGTTAGAAAGTGTGATCTCCTCTTCCTAAAAAATTTAATGCCATGCAAAAACATTGTGATAGGAAAAGGTTTTGAAATTTTTTTGAGAATGGTGCGACAGAACTTGCGTACCAGCTTAATACTATTAATTATTTGACCAGGACGTGAAAGTCAAGAATTCCATTCTGACCATCAAAAATAACTTTCTCTCCCTAACCCCCCCCCTCCCCTCCTCACAGCACATAATATGGCCACCATATTCATATAAATTATTCAGATGTTTCGCCTATCACTTGCCGTGCTTGTATTATCAGAATGTGCGCTATCGATGCCTCCACCAGCAGGATTGAATTTGAAGCCAGCAAAAGCGATCGGTGAAGAGCATCCAAATGTCCCACTGGTTAATTTTTATAAAATTATTTATCAAATGCTGAAAATACCACAGTTACAACTCTCTACACATTCCCAAATTTCCTTTCTAGCATAGACATTGATTGTCTAGATAGTGTTGTCTAGAACCTCCACTCGGAGAATCTCGTTCAAACGTAGCACTTGACTGAGATAGTATCGTATTATGTTACAGAAAATTTGTCACAATGTCCTTGGCGACCTTGCTTGCTTTTACTCGTCTTTGCCTTAATTTGGTATTGGAACACTATGTTAACCAGAAGGGCTTTGTATGGTTTCAGGTAAAGTTCACGCGACTTCATCGTCGCGATTTATCGCGAAGGACAACTGTAAGAATATCATTGCATGCCGATCTGCTTGCATTCCGGTTGTGATAGTTTTCCAACACGACTAATCGTGACTAATCACAACCGAAATACAAGAAGATTCGGCAAACAATGAACTCGTAACACTTGTCTTGTCGCGATGAATCGCGACGATGAAATCGCGTGAACTCTGGCCCAGGCCCATGTCATCCAGGAAATCGCATGTAATCGCTTGCATTTTTTTCTGCGAAATTCTCCGCAGTACTTGAAAATTATGTAGAGCAGGGAAAATGCTACTCCTCAAAAGCGCAAAGAATAGTGCGCACAAGTTTTAAGAAATTATGATTGCTAAAACACTCACTGCTTTTCCTTTCTCTACATATAGCTGGCTTTTGACTTTATCGAAGTTGTTTCGAAGATAAAGGCAGCGTTTGTTGACAGTGTGTAACAAATAGAGTCACTATATACCATCTACCTATACTGATCTCAATTTACTAAAACCAATTTCTCAACGATTTTCTTCCCATTTTTTTTCCGTTATTCCAACGCTTCTACGATATGCGTTTGAATCATGAAAGCAAAGGACCTAGTCGCTTACCAACTCGAATAGAAACTTTCAAATGAACAAACTGTTTCGCGGTCATAATACTGCATTTCTAGACATGATCAAATGCGCTCCATATTTCTTATGAAAAATTTAGGGATCAAAATATATCTAGGCAGCAGTTGCGCTAAGTTGTTTTGTTGAAGCAACTGCCTCCTGAGAATCTCACTCTCAGAAGAACGGGAATTTAACGGATTAAAAGTTTTGATAGAAAACGGGGACCACATCCATGCCTCTAAGTAAGCAATCTGAACTATAATGACGAATTCTCGCAGACTTTAAGCTCCCTAATTGGTTAGCTCCACACCGATTTTGAATATCCAATATTTTGGATCAATAGAAACAAGCGCGAGCTGTGGAAAAATATCCTCTGTTGCCTAAAAACTTCCGAACTTAGAAAGATTTGCTATGCAAATAATTTCTCTCGTTAGCAATTAGCAAATAAACGAAATTGTCAAAAAACAAGTATAAAAAATCATCCAGTTCAAAAGCTTTCTCTTTGCAGAGTAATGCTCCTGCAGAAGTGTCCAAAGAGCCTCCCAATCTTCGACTGAGGTCCAGAATGATGGCCGCCTTGAATGCAGTTGTACGTTTTTCTCTTTTGTGCCACTTTTAAAGAATATTTCAGGATTAATTTCAGAACGAAACCAGCAAAAAGGAACTCGTCCCGCTTGGTTCACAAACCCTGATTTTAACCAAGAACAGAAAGTACAAAAAGGTAATTTCACATTCCTTTTGGCCACTCAAAAACAGAAGTCTTGAAAATTACAGCCTTCGTCCTCGAGATCATTTTTCGGTGCAGTGACAGAGGAGCCGATTACGGCTGCGCCATTAGCTGTGCGACCTGCTCCAAAAACTGTAATTTTGTGTCTTGAAGAGTGAAAAGTGTCGAAACTTGAAAACTCGAAAATTTCCAGCTACCATCGTCGGCAAATTACGGCGTGAACCCGGTACTACAGACGAATTTCGTTGACGCTCAAGGACGAGTGTTGAAAAACGTCGTTTCAATACCTATTCGAGTTGGAGAAGCAAAGATTAAAGCAGTCAGGTAAAAACTTCTTAGTGATTTACTATAAAAAATAGATACGAGAAGCCTAGCGCTTCTCCACATTATGTTTTCTATCCCATAAACTCTCCAAACGGCTGAAATTTGGAATAATTTTTCGATTACCAATTAGATTTTAGCAATTGTATTTGGAGCCACAAGAGTGTTATCGCTGACCCCCACCATGATAGAACCATTGTCCAAGGCTCAAGAGCGTTTGCGCAGACCTGAAATACCGAAACGGTCACAATTCTGCAAAATCGAAGCCTTTTGTAAATACAGTTAGGAATGAAAACTGTTGTAACTTCGAATTTTTACAAACACCCTCGTAAGCCTTCATCCCAATCACAAAATGCAGAATCGAGAAGTTCGCATAACCTGCTGCTGCAAAAAAAGACACCAATTATAGCCTACTATTTCCATATTGGGCTACACCCCGAAATTTACAGATAGGTTCGCCGAAATGTTCAAAATTTTCTCTAAAGTTACGTATTTTCCACAAAACTACAAGAATATAACATAAGTTGCACAAGAAAAGCCCCTGAAAACCACTTGCAAAAAAGTTCAAAATGCGATGCACTGACTAAGAAAAAGACTGGAAAGGGGCAATCCTCTCTGCGGAGGTAATATGAAGTGCTAGCACGCAGAACTAATTGAATCAAAAACTCGCTTATAAAAAACTAGCTGGCTTACCCTGCTCCGCCGTATGTTCCGAATAGAAAATTCCATTTCTTAACCGATCCGGACCAAACTTGGCACACATACACTACGGGCCCCGGCGGGTGTCACAGTCCACTTTTCGTTATCGATCGATGTCGAGATTATCGATTTTTTGCAAAATTTGAGCTAGGGGGCTGGAATTTGGCAGGGGGGTGTAATCGAGCATGCTGATCACCCCCACGGGGGTAATCAGCATGCTCGATTACCCCCCTGTGCCAACTCCCAACCCCGTAGCTCAAATTTTGCAAAAAATCGATAAAATCGATATCGATCGATGACGAAAAGTAGCCTATGACACCCGTCGGGGCCCGAAGTGTATGTGTGCCAAGTTTGATCCGGATCGGTTCAGAAATGGAATTTTCTATTCGGAACATACGTACATACATACATACAGACAGACAGACAGACAGACAGACAGACAGACAGACATACAGACAAACAGACATTCAGCTTTATATATAAGATAGTCAGCCATATCTCTATTTTCTCATCATTGGAAAAGGAATGCTACGAGTGATCTACAGAAAGTTCTACCCTATTCTAGAAACTATAAAATTTCGAATTTGAAGGTTCGGCTTATACAGGGTGTCCCAAAAGTCTTGTAGCCTAGTACTTCTTCTGATAAAAACAGAACGAAACAACATAGGGATATAAAATTTGGTGTACATATTATTCAAAAAGTAGCAAATACATCACAGCATTCGAATTTCGTGGTAGCATCTTTCCTTGATAACGGAAGCCTTCAAACTGTTGGCGATTACCACTGCCGAGGCACGCAGGAAGTCATCATCAATTTTGTCCCAATTTTTCATGAAAATAAATCCTATCGCCTAGAAAATGTGCTATATGATAGAGCAAGCTTTCAGCTACATCATACCATGATTAGAAAGTTTGTGAGTTTTATAAAATTACGGAAATTTGAATGCAGGCACGTGTATTGGCTTATCAAATTGAGTGTCGTTTGCACCGGCATCTCCATCTTCGCTAGACTCTGCGTCTCTTCCACAGGGCTGCTCTCTGAGCACTTTCCCATGGCGAGCGTGGGAAAGGCGGAGCATCAATCGATTGGAAGTGATTAGGGAGCATGTAACGCAGAAGAGACGCAGAGCCCAGCGCGAAGATGGATATGCTGGTGCAAACGACACTCATTTTGATAAGTCCTATAGATCTCATGGTGGAGTTTTGGACCCATTTGCGAAAAATGAAAACAGGAAATCGGCTACAATGTGTTTCAAAACCAAGTTCGTCATCCGTGTTGCATTACATTCCCATCTAGAAAACATGCGAGGAGGATATAACTCCAAATTCAGTGACTGCTGCAATTCTATAGATTTGAAACTAATTCCAAAGACATAGTTGCAGTGGCACGCATTGAAAATTTCCAGGTATTTTCTCGCCTCTCTTGACGAAATAGATTTTTGAATGCAGCCATCATAGTGATAGTAGTGCAAAGCCTACTCTATATTGTGGATATAAATTTGCACCGCGGTGTGCTAAATTTTTGCAGTAGCGGAATAAATTTCAAACATTTAGGAAATAGCTTTTTGCGTTTTATGGGAGAAGTGGTTTGATAATTTAATTTTTTTCAGTCAAACATGGAGATCATTTTTTACCCCCAAGGATGTAGTTTACGAAGAATGATTGGTGGATTCTGTGGTATAGATTTGAGATCAAAATCACCAGTGATTGTTGAGTTAAAGCAGTGCAAAGTTAGGCTACAAGACTTTTGGGACACCCTGTAGAAAGCGATTCTACCCTACAAGAATTTAATACTGCTTCTTTGGAAATGTTTCTACTGGTATTGTTTCTCTCCACCATTCTTGAATAGTCCAAAGAAAAATCTCATTTTAACTTTCCAAACAAATGTAAGCCAGCCTATGACTCGTTCAATAGAAATATTGCTGACTCCTGAATTTATAGCGAGCATCTGCTTTATTTCTATTTTTGATTCGTATTATTGGAGCTGCGAAGGTCTATCGACATTTTTAGCTAGAGAAGAGAATAAACTGTTTACCGACTGTGAGTTGGCCGCGTCCTGGTCCACAAGAAGTGTCTACGCATGCGAGAGAATGATTCAGACCTACTAGAAAATGAGTCTTGAGAAAACTGTAGCACTCTTGACACGCTGCTTCTTGAAAAATAGTATATGTAAGCGATTCTCACTTTGTTCGAAAACTCACCTAGCGTCTGAACCGTCTCAGATGTTCTATTGCGTCGAGATATGCGCAAAACGCACAATTTCGACTAGGGAAAAATGGACTGATTATATGGCTAAAGAAATGAAGCAGTGATCGTGTTTTAACACTTAGTTTCTGTGAAAATCTATTTTGGGACTAGAGATTCACATATAGTTATTTCCATCGAGGTAATTTGCAAAGGTTGCTTTACACTTACTTTATTTACCTGTTACAAGGTACAACCTTACAAGCTACGACGAAAAATATCCTGGCAAGCCAATTTGTATGATAGTCTCCTTGATACTCATCTTAAATAAACAAATTTATTTCATCATATGTGCAGCTAATGACCTTTTGAGCTAGAAAAGCAAAAGCCAACGTTTACAACTCCTGAACGGGCTGGAATGGGTACTACCCTGACTTAGTGCAATGCGTTGTAGGGGACTAAGCCCGCTCTAGTAGAAAGCAGAGTTGCTGGGACCATTAAATCAGGGCCTGGCACCAGCCGGTCGGATCAAGCTGGATATCGTTTTTGGGGCAAAAAAGCAAAGAGGATATCGTTCTTGTGGTTTAAAATTGCGTCGTTTTCCTAGTCGACGTTTCGTTTTTGAGGGTGTTCTTTACGTTTAGGGTTTAGGGTCAAAGGGGATTTCGTGCTGTTGCGGCTCGGTGTGCTCAGCACTTCGCCCAGTGCTCGTCCGCCTGACTCCGCAACTCCTGACTCCAGGATCTACCGCTTCGACGCTAGTGCGCGCCCTCTAGCGCGTCTGCTCGACGCCTACACCCCTCTAACCCGTACGACACGAACATCACACGCACGACTAGATTACATCACATTTATCTAAAACTACACAAAATAACAACAACTAATAGAACAACAAAAAATACTAAACTACTAAAAATTCACTAAACCCTACTCAGACTACTACTACTACTCCAGGACAAGAAGAATACGCACGGGACGAGCCGCCTCGTCCCGTGCTGCCGATGCCCGATGAAGATCATCTCCAACACGAGTAGTTCCGGGTTCTCCGAAGGGTCAGCCGCAAGTCCTTAGCCCTTACGGGACAGCGAGACCCCTCTCCACTCCCGCAATCCTTTCCGCTGCTTGTTAGACTACAATCCTAGCTGCGCGTCTCCATGCACAAGAAGAATATCAAAAGGCTCAACCGCTCGAAACCGTTGATCATCTGCGGGAGCTACTGGAGGCGCTGCCAGCGGGTTGATATCATCAAAAAATCGATAACGAACGAAGCTCAAGGAGGCGCAGACCGCAGCCCACGCGCCCTTATATACCCTGAGACTTGGCAACGCGCCCAGCAGGAGAGGTCTTGGCGCGATCTTGATAACGCGCCAAGTAACGCGACAGCCAGCGCTCCCGGTCTCCTGTTTCGAGGAGTGGCTTGCATCGCGCGAGCCGCGACACGTGCAAAATTTTCAAAATCAACGGGAACTTCGTTTTGAAATCCCCCTATGCCAGCTCGTGCCGAACCATGCATTGAACCAATCTCAAACAATTTTTACTTTCCTAATAATAATAGCTGACGAATACAGTTTTTACGAGATTTTTGAAAGGTGTGATCGGATGTGGATTATAAAGTGCAGAAGGACATTTGTGTTCTTTAGGTCCTGACTCTCTCGTGCTTCCCCCTCTCATACCCTCTATCTTCCCTCTTTCAAGCCTCATCTTTCCAATAATAACTTGAATCGAGCTCCATTGCTATTGCTTTGAAACGGCGATAGTGATTTGAAAACTTGATAGAAAAACGTTTCTATTGCAAAGTATGAGTCAAGAAGAGTTGATAGGACCTCTTAGCGAACCCTGCAAAGAGTAGCCTAAAACATTCGTCAGGGTCGAAAAAGTTCTGTGCAAGGTTTGCCGATTACTGATTCAGCGGTCGGCGTTTCTATACGATCAAACATGATTACTTCGCACAGACTGTGCTAACTTTACATAGAATCACTTTATTACATCTAACAAAGCTCGCTCATAGTAGAAAAGAAGTATGACGGTTATACAAAGCTCTAACTCAGTCACACAACCCCGTTAGAATTGTTTGTTCCAAAAGATATGCTTCACAGTTGTGTCAAAGACATTCTTTTCAGTGCTGCCTCGGTATCGCTGGTTGAGGGAGAAGCCGAGAATGGAGTTCATGTGAAGTTTGGACAAGCCTCTCCGGCGCCCATCTAAGCATTTGTATAGTATAAAATTAATAAGTTCACATAGAATTATTCGCGATAAAGCGTATCAGAACATGAATTCCAACTGTAAGATTCTGACCAATCAGGATCATGCCTTTATGAAGGCTTACTTCTTCCTTCGAGCATGTGTAGGCTCTCCATAATTACTTCAAGTAAAATGCTTGGAAGGGCACAGACTATCGCTACAAATTCTTAACGATTTCCAACCGGAAGTTGGTTTTATCTCAGGGAATATCCGGATGTAGCCATACAGTGAAGAGACCCGACTTTTTAATTCTTTTCCAGCCAAATTTCATAATTTTCAGTTGATTATCAAAGCTCTACTGTGGATTTCACCACTTTCTGGCACGAGAGCAGATTTTAGCTACGGGGGGGGGGGGATATTTCTAATCGAGTGAAAGGTTGCGGTGCGAATCTTAGCTAGAATAGTGTGACAATCATTTATACAGTAGTTTCGTTTCCGCAACAATCGCTTGGTGAAAAAAAGCGCCAAACATTTGGACTGGTCAAGTACCGCCAAATATCTTTGCAGACGTTAATTATATCGTTCATAAAAGCTAAACTGTAGACGGAAGTTTTTGTTACTAGAATAGCTCATTCAAACATTCGCCTTCAGAGATATTTCGTTAATCAAACATTATTATACTGCCAAAAGCCTTCTCTCGCGCGAATAATTAGCACTAACTTCATCAACAATGCATAATATGTGGCAGATGTCCGCGCTGCGATCCTTAGCGATTTAATCGTCTTTCTAAAGCATGATGAGTAATATCATGATAAAGACATCTGTAAGTTACTTTCTGAAAGTAGAACAGCTCTTTGTGTGCAACTGTACATACATTTATTCGACACCGGTGCTGTACCTGTATGCGATACGCCCAGGTAAACGGTACTATTGCTATTTTACAAGCGAATATCAACAAAAAATCACAACAAACTATTGCAAACAAAGACTACTCTAAACTAATCTCGTTGATCTCAGTTATCGTTATTTCTCCTGCTGAACACCGTAATCGGTAATATTTGCAAGTCATAAAGTAAGGCACAAGAACTGATGCATTTGCTACAAACCATATGTGTATGTATAAACACGGAAAACTGGTACACTTGAGACCACCGAGGTCCTCTACAAAACCCTACTTCCACATTGGGATAACCGGTTATGATTACTGTAATCAGCACACATAAAGTACAAATTTGATTAATATGAAGAAGTATATGTGGAATAAGAAAAAACAGCAGTTAAGGCCATTTGAAATTAGTCACCGAATAACAATTTCGAGCACTCGTCGTCGAACCTGGCCAGGTCGAAAAACCGCAACAGATGCAGACCTTCCAGTTCCTGGGCTGCACAAATCTAAAAGATATAAATCAAAAGGGTTTTGTGAGAGGGAAATATCTTACCGCAACGCCTCCGCTCAGCATGAGTAGATCACTTAGCCGTTCTTCCGGATTTTCTTCTCCGCTAGCACAATAATAAGCGTGAAGCCCAGTCAACACTTTATCGCGAACGTCGGAAAGAATCTTCAACTCATCCGAGTTTGCCAAAGGAATTCCTTCAGTCTCGCGGATAATTGTCGGCTCTGAATACTCATGAGATAACGAGTATTCAAAATTATAATCATGAAATTGAAATACTAATTACATCCAGCGTTTTACTTTCTAGAGAAAAATCATGTTTTGCCACGCAAAAATGAGATAAGCAAACATGTCGTACTATTGTCAATTTGGGACACTGCAGGAACTCTCATCGTAAGTAGTTCTATCGCGACAGAGTGACCACAAAAAACGGCGAATGGGGTATCATTTGATAGAGCAAAGCACGCTCTACAAGGTAGTTAACAAATCATTGTGGAAATCTTGCTCCACCTGAAGTTTGAGACCAAAAAAAACATCCAGATACCCGAAAATTTTATTTCTGTTCATAGACGTCTTAGGGATCTCCAATTTGCACAGGCATGTCTCTTCAAATTAGAAATTCACCTGTATAGTTTGTGGTATTTTTCCGTGGCTACAGTACGAAACAAAAATAGGTCAAAAGTGCGAATCTGTCGCGTTTTTCGGGTTTTTTGCACACAAGTTGATTTTTCTCGAAAACTACCGTTTCTAAAGCTGAAAATTCACAGTTATACTCTCAAGGGTCCATACTACAGAATCATCCATGTGAGAGAAGCTCAGGATTGCTGTGGCAAAAATATGCCGAATTTCGTTTTCTCAATTTTCAGCCATGGAAAAACCGCGAAAATGTGCATACGAGTGTCTCGCATAGTGGGTCCATGCGGGAGCAATTTGGGATTTCCCAGGACTTTCCTGAACGGAGATATGATTTTTTTCGTCATTTTAGATCTTTAGTGCCTTATAAAATTTGGCTTCAAGCTTCACGCAAATCAAACTTGAGGAGAAAGTTTGAGCTTCATTTTGTAGAGCTTGCTCTGATCTATGGTTGATACCTCACTTACTTACTTTCGTGCGCATCCCGCTGCGATTGCATGTTCAAGCTACCCTAATTTCACGAGTTCATGACGCACATTCATTTTTCTAAAGCAAGCAGCTCGGTCGCACGTGCCTCGCAAAATGTTCGCTTTCTCACACAATGCTTTCAGGTAAGGAGCAGCACGGTCTTATGGCCGCGAAATTTTTTGGTGTGTTAGAGCTAGTCGAGTTTATAAAAAATCGGGTGCGTCTTGTACTCTTGAAACTAGGGTGAATATATATTCAACACCTTCAACTGCTGTTGATGTCCAAATTTAAGATAGATACCTTGAAAGCAATGCCATGTGACAGATTATGGAATATTAGATAATCCAATCCTTTGTTAACAATTAATTACTTGATCGCTACTATGTCGGTAAATTATCGCTGTTTTGGATGAGCATCAAAGCTCTTTAGTCATTTGTGAATTCCATCAAATGTGACCCTCGCTCAAGAAACTGTTATCAAAAGCACATCCCTGCTTCCTTTTTTGGAAAGGATAGAAACTTGCGACACCTGTCTAAACGAATTACAGCAGATTGATCAAGCTCGTAAATTCCCATTGGCTAAGCTTCCACTTGACACTAAAGCGAAATCGCTTCAACAGAAAATTTAAGCTGTCAGTAACGATACAACAGTAGCCATCATTTCGTACTTGCTACAGAAATTGGTCAAGATGGGTACCTGGTATGGTCTGTAACTTGAAGATCATCCCTACCTTCATCAATTTTGGATATCGGAATACTTACAAGAGACCATTAATGCCATGTGAAAGAACCATATTACTAGCACAAACACGGATCGGTTTCTCCTCAAAAAGAATGCGGATTTCTCATCGCATCTTCCAAATGCCCTTCTAACAAAAAGTATTTGCCGCGCCATCTCCCAGTATTAAGTCAATGTCAGTTAACCAGAGAACATACTCATGAGCATGAGAACTTTCAAAGCAGCCACTTCCTCGGGAGCGGGTCGCAATTTTCGCAATGGTTGAGCGATTTCGTCGATCAGCACTGCAGTGAGTGGGTAGAGAAGCCTAAAAACAAACATTTAGGCGTCAGGACTACCTGCGACCTTCCAAAGAGCATTTGCTTACTGTTGAGCCATGGAGATCTTGGGATTGAGGTGAAGTTTGATTTCTTCTGGAATCGCATCCAGATTCCGTACTAGACATGTGCGATCTGAGAGAAACCACACATTGTCGTGTGGTGGCATCTGAGCCGTAAACAAACCATGCTCGATGGTCACGAACATCAAGCAAAATCGGTGAAGCAGATGACGCTAAATGGAAAGGATTCATCGAGTTTTTTATTTGTTTCCTTTCGCCACACCCTTCCTTTCCCTCGTTTCCCCATGCCAACGCTAAATACGGAAATGCGAAGTAGACGCTTAGAGCGAACCAGTTTTCAAAATTACAGGCACAACGACAAAAACACATCAAAAACGCATCATCAGTGCGTTGTTGTGTGGAACTGGTCTAGTTTTTTCGAGTCACGTAGGACATAAATGGGCGTTCTCTTTCTGTACTATTGTTGCATCGCATTCATCAATGTGAATTGAAGGCCAATTTCAGGTTCAGTAAATCGTGAAAATTCCATTCACATAGGATCATTTTTTGTAATAAATAAAACCGCACATGAACTGCGGGATTTTTTCCACGCATAAATTCTTGCAGAATGTTATTATTGAATGACATCAACCGAATGCACAAACTCAAAACCGATCACTTCTACTCACTACTGAGGATTTCTTTTTTACGGTTTTCAGACTGTAAGGGTTCCAAGCCTTGTATTTACAACAAAACTTGACAAAGAGTCGAAAGTTCAGGCTTTGAACAGGGTTGAGCGTTTTACTCTAACAAGTAACAGGATTCTTGGAAAAATGCAGCCATAGAAAATCGAACGTGCAAGCTTTAAAGATTTAAACTCTTTTTGAGACAGGATGATGTCCTCCAGAATCTCACACTATGAGTCCAGAGTTGAAGAGAAGGAAGAAAAGGTGTTTACGAGGGAAAGGGCAGAAGGTCGTATTCGCAAGACTTGTGCCTGACCCCTTGCACGACTCTGGCTATGAATCCCAGTTCCACCATCAATGGTTTTGCTACAGGTTTCGAATAAGATCTGACTCACTCTAAGAAGTGGGGAGAGCATGTGGAAGGAGGGAACCTGTTCGGCCCATTCGACTGCCATCGCGATATCACCACGAATCGACTCGGACAGCTCACCATTCGGGGCCACGTCTGAGAAATCGCAGATCTGTAATCAAAAATCATCAGACTCATATACGCAAAAATTAAGTGACATTAGGAAGGGTCCATCCACCAAGGAAGCAATTTTTATTCTGAAAAATGTCTTTCCAACGATCTGTGATTTTTAGGATTGGTCGATATATTCCAGAATGAGCCAAAAAATGGCTGCCATGAATGACCACGGAACGCCACAAGTGGTTTGCCAAACAAGCTGGATATCCTTTTTGGGAAAAAAGCAAAGGGAATATCGTTTATAGCACACCGCTGTCTTTTGACAGGGGACCTCGTGCCGCTACGGCCATCTTTTCATCCACATCCCAAACCCTACAAATTGATTCCTAAAGCCTCAAAGCCCCTCCTTCCCGCTTGGTTAAAGCCCCTTGAAAATTCTGAATGGCGGCGGCAACGCTGTTTCAGGTGCGTAGTGCTGCGCGCCTGGAGCAGCGTTGCCAATGCGGAAAATACGAATATCATCGCATTCAATTTGATGATCCTTTTGCGTTTTTTTTGCTTTGTTCCCTTCCTTTTCCTATGTTTTCTCTTCAAATATCTCATGGCCGATTTCGCACTTTTATCATGAAGTAAGAGAACTACGTTTTTTGCTATTTCATGAAGCCACCTCGTGCCGAGCAAATGAACTTGAGATAAGCTACTACCTACTAGTTTACTACCTTCGTCCTGGCGGAGCCATGCACTCATAACTTCTCAAACCTTCTGTTACTATTTGTGCTGAATGTGCTTTTATGTAGAGAAAGGAAATCATCAGAATCTTGAGAGAAAAAAGATAATACGCGCGTCTCTGCTTTTCTGCGAAACCTAACTGTCTTTGCGTATACAGTTTTTTTTTGCCGAGCACTACACCAGTCTATTTCAATGACACTTTCCCATCCATCTTTTCCACTTTTCCATGCACCCTAATCCTACCCTTCGCATCTATGTGGTAGTTCTATTTTCTATGGGTTACTTACTTCTATGATAGCTATTACTGAAGCACAGCTAAGGGCTGTGCTCTTCAATTTTAAGTACCAAGCTGTGGTATTCCGATTCTATGCCAAAACGCCTTTCCAATAACAAAAACCATTAGAGAAACGGGTGTGTCCACTAGTCGATGAGGGAAAAAACTGGCAAAGTTTAAAGTCAGGTGACAAGCAAGACCAAACGCAAGTTCTATCAACTTCATAAATTGGACGGTGTTAAAAAGGTCAAAAATTAGTTTTAGCAAAAAAGCCAGGAACGATAACGAACCGGATTGTAGAAGAACCTGTCCTGCTCAGGTCCGACGATGCAATGGCCTCGTCTGGCCGCATAGCTTCGTCGGATCTGTGAGTCCATATCCCTGAGTCCATATAAGAAATATAGCGCTTCCTCCGAAGCCGGTGAAAGCTTGCCCTGAAAGGAATCATAAACTGCAAGGTCCCTTTTTCTCGGCTGTTCCCTCACCCCTGACGATGACGATGACGACGGACTGTCAGATGGTGAGATCGAGTCGGACTGGGTTGTTTGTCTTCTCCCGATGAGATCTCGACAGGGATGCAGCGCTGCAAATGCTATCTCTCTCTCTCTTTCGAAGCAAAAGCACTGTATTCACAGCTTCGTGAGTCACGACTGCGTCACACGCCAATGCTTTTCCACACATTCAGTGAATTCTGTGAGTCAGAACCGAAAAAAGTTCCGCACAGCTGCAGCATTTTTCAACGGAAAAATTTAACTTTTTGGGGTTGGATCAATAAAGTATTGTTTCAAGGCGATATGTGTCTATTTTCTTGCAGATTATGATGTTTTTTATTGCCACAAAACAATTTAAATGGGGGAAAGCGTCACTGATAGCATGTCTGTTTTTTCTTCTTCAAATGTTCTAAAGCCGAAATTTGCACAGCTTGCAAGAAACGAAAAAGGTAAAGAAGGCACGCAATCCCTTATCAGAGGCGATCAACCATAATAACACATTTAGACACTACATAATACGCAAGTGCAAATCTATTTTAAAAACTGGGTAGAGATCAGACTCAAGCGTCAGAGAGACACAACATAAGTGAAGGAGAAAATCAAAAGATACCACTATTTTTAGATATCTACGGAATTTTTATTGAGCTTCACCAGCTTTAGATCAAGTATTGTGCTGTTAGGAGATGCAGAGTTGTTTGAGGTTGCTTAATGGCAGTATTCATGCAAAACTCTATGACACTGGCAAAACACTTCGATTTTTTGAGATGTGATAAACGTCGCTATCTCAAGATATGTTGCAAACAGTATCAAGGTTTTTATTAACTGTTGTATTGTAAGTGTACGATCTTAGCCATATGAACAATTTACAGTTCAAACAAATCTAAAAGTTCTTTTGCATCAACATCGGCGCAAAGAAATGAGACACAAATGATGATCAACCTGGGGCAGTGTGTATCAATCGCCCGCCTGGGTAAGGGTTCCTGTTCAGATAGTACCTTCATAGCTCGGTGCTGTGGTGATATGTGTTTTTCCTTGTTTCTCCATCTTTTGGAGGCCTTACTACCCTAATGTTGTAGCACGATGAATACCAGCACTTTGTTGTATAAGCTAAAATTTCGGTATTTTGTATGATCCGAACGGGATCCTCAGAGAACACGGCTCGATTTCAAAGTCACTTATCTTTGCAAAAACTCAACGAAAACGTCGCAAAGTTGCGCTAAAGACTTATTATGACAACGCTGAGCATGTTTCCGGTAGCGCAGAAAAAATGTGGAAATTTTGAGTTTTCCGATAGATCCCAACTTGCAACAGAGGTTCGTCGAAGATTTCGTCAACTTGTGTTTTCACTTATTACTTCTACGATAATGCTCAGCACCGTCATAACAGATCGACAGCACAATTTCACGACGTTTTCATTGAGTTTTGCAATGGTAAATGACTTTGAAAATGAGCCGTGATTCTTTGAGAATCCCGATTGGGACACACAAAATACCAAATCAGCTTATACTGCAAAGTGCTGCTATTCATCATGCTACAATACTAGGACAGTAGGGTCTCCAAAAGATGGGCAAACAAGGAAGAACACAGATCCTCACAGCACCGAGCTATGAAGCGGATACTATCTGAACGGGAACTCTTACCCGGACTGGCGGTTGATGCATACCGCCCCTGATTTACGCTTTGAGATTATTTTTCAGAGATTGAAGTAAGAAGAAAGGAAGAAACTGCAATGAAATATCTGCAAATCTATCACTGTGTTTTGAGCTCTAGGCTTAGCAGCAGTTGATATATTCACAGAATTAGGGAAAGCTACTTTAGTATTCCAACTGCCAGATGCTCATACTAAATTGCATCCGTTTGAGCAAATCTCGAGTTTCACTGCCACACATCCAATTTAAAAAAGACGATATGAACACCAAGCATGAAAAACACACAACTGATTCAAGTTCAAAATACAATACAGCCTCTTCCAAAAAAATAACGAAATATAATAAGAATTTTCCGACATTTAAAAAATCTATGTTTGTTTGCACACCAAATGAATAAAAAACTAACAGTGTTTGCTTGCATTCTAAATGTATCCTCAATATGTTAAACGGGTGATGCTTCAAAGCCCTTGGTATGCTGTTCGGCTTCATCCTGATCTCACAGGGCAAAGGTCATTCATAAAATTGACATCGCAAGCAAATTTTTGCACAGGACTATGTGTGATGCAAAGGACATGATTATTCAGGCTCGACAGATGTCAATGAGGTTTTGCAGAACTGCAAAGAACAGATAAAGCTGAACTTCATGCACGTCTGCAGGGATGTCCTGCATAGTACTGAAACAGCTGCTAAGAGTCTATGGTATGTAAAGTGCATAATTAGCAGAGCATGACAGAGCAGAGATATGCAAATCTAACCTCATCAAAAGTTCCAAAGTTCAGCTACACTTGACCAGAGATTATTCAAAGAGCTCTAGTGTTGAAAAAAGCTCTAGTGTTGAAGATTATGTTGAAAATATTAGGTTGTCGCATAATTAATGCACGTTTTTCTAACCTCTTTTTGAAAAAGCTGATTTTCAAAGAAAGACCATTTTTCTCCAAAATCCTTTATAGTGTCTAAAAGCTCCATTCTTCTTGTTCTTACCATGTGCTTTCGTTTTCGCAAATCTTTGTTCAAACCGGGGCATGCTTTCAAAGACAAGTGACTAAAAGACGAATTTTTTCCTTTCACTCTCCTTGCTCTAAATTTTTGAAAAATGGATGTTCTTTGATAATTATGAATAATTGCGAAGTTTTGTATTATAAAAAGCTTGTCAATATTGAATTTTTGAGAATTTTCGAGCTTAGAAATCTTGTCTCAAACTTATCTATTCGCTGAAGACCATCTATGTTGCATAAAAATCTCAGATTAGAAAGACTGTATAAAATTTGCTATGTACACCTGAGTGGACTTGGTAAAACTAATGCTAGGAAAACGACAGCATTTTCTCGTTTTTTTTTGAGGGCAGTTTTTTGGAATTTTCAAAATGCTGAAAAAGTGGCTAATTTTAATTTTTTTGCTTTCTCACAAAAAATGCCGTAAACTCCGAACTTCACTCCGTTGAACAACCGACCATCGGCTATATAATCTGCAAATTTGCGCGGTCCTAGTAATGAGAGCAAATCGAGCTCTCTCAAATTGTAGGTTTCCAAAAAAAATAAAAATGTTAGGGCATTTATTGGGCTAGAAGATCTTTCACAGAATGGTTACGATTCAACAAAAGCATGCGTTATATAGTCAAAGTGCCGTTTGCAGTAATTTTTATTGCGCTCAAAAAGATGGTTTTGGAAAATAATTATCTTGATCAGGAAATTAAATCCAAAAAAATGCATTAATTATGAAACAACCTGATATTTTTTAATAACAAAAAGAAAAGGTTTTCAATTCACAATGTTAGTTTAAGTTTAAGTTTATGGCAACAAATTAAAAAAATCTTGTCAACTGTTGCAATAACTTACATAGAACTACTCTCCTGCAGAAATTTTTTTTATTAGAACCCAGAGTAAGTCCCATTTTTTCTATATGATGTTAGTAAGTGTAGTAGCATGTAGTAGCTAAGCTTTTCTTCCTCCCCGCCCACCCCCTTCGAACTCTTCCACCTCCCCTAATCCACTGCTGTCCCCATCCCCTTCCCTCGCCTCATTCGTTTTCTCCCATCCATTTACCGGTTACCTGTTTGTTAAAAGCGATTTGTACTTGCACAGAAATACAGTTAGGTTACCTTGCTCGTTCATTCCTATCTCTTTGCACTTTGTAAATCGGCAGCTTCGGCAAATTCGCTTCGCATGAGCGCCTTAATGATTTTTTTTGAGATTAAGCAATTACAAGAGGCTGCGGGCTCACCTTTAACAAGGAGACATTTGTTTTGGAATTTGCATTTCGGTTGTGTTCCCTGCAGGACGACCTGGAATCGTAATTTTTTAGGGAAAAAATTCAAGAAATTGAAAAATCGACCATACCCTCCTGAAGAAGGTTTTACAACCGAGGCAAGCGGTCACTCCATAGTGATGACCCGTATTGGATGCTCTGCCACAGACTAGACACACCATCGGCTTCAGCTCCATGTCCGTCACTGAACAAGAGCCATTTGCGATCCCGGATGAAACGCAGCTGTTAAAGCTAAGAGCACCTCTTCCATTTAGGAACAGTGTTTCCCCTTCGCTGAACGTCATCACCGAAGAGAGCAGAGATTTCTGGAACGAACACCAGGAGGTGTGTGTGCCCGGTTACGGTAGAATTATGATTGATAAGAGTACTATAAAGTGCAGATCGGATAAGACAGTCTGACGATGTCGAAACTTGCAACGAATGGCGAACGTGAGATAGTGGGGAAATTGACGATAAATAAAGTATTCGAATTTCGTTGCAAGGGTTTAGTACATGAAAAACAATCTTCAAGAATAAGTAACTGGTATAGCAAGTATTATTCAGCGATAGATGAATTAGTTCAACATACGACAAAACTGCAATATTCTGAAAAACCTTACAAATGCACAAACGAGACCTTTGTCTATACTGTTTTGCAGATATCTAATGATGGAACATGGTAAAATTTCCATAGAGATGGTGGCATTTAGACAGAAGAGGTAATAAGTATAAATGGAAAGCGTCTTTCACTCTTCTCGTTCATAATTAAAAAAAGCCTTTCAAAGCAAAAAAAAAATACCAGTAGCTTAAGTTAAACAGTTGAAGTTGAAAAAAGTAAAGGGAACTTAGCAGCGCTTCTTTACATTGTATGCATGAAAATAAGAAAGAAAAAGAGCTTCAAATCATGTAACGCCTATAAATGCTTGTGAGTTGCCTTCAAAATGTCAATTCTAACTGTCTTGACTGTCTCAAAAGCGAAAAATCAATCTTTGCGAAGTATTAATGCTTGTGTCCAAAGAAACCAATCCTTTGTAAGGAAGATACGAGTTTGAGTTTTTACGAAAGTGGTTTTTCTTAAATCAGTGATCATGTGTTCTCTACATGCTTTCTCATAGAACAGAAAAAAAAGAATGGTGAAATAAATCATTTGTGGTTTGGCTTACAGCGACGATGTAAAGATATGGAGGAAGGCGATTATCAAAGCAACTGATTAATGATCTTATTTCATTTCACATGTGTAGTGAGTAGATTAAATATGGAGTTTTCATGAAAACAAACTGGTGCCCAAAGCTCGGCACGAGGTGGCTTCCCGAAAATGCAAAATACGAAATCCCCCTTGACTTTCGCAAGTTTTTACGAGTCCCCTTTGACCTTTAACCGGCCTCAAAACAATATCTTCTTTGCTTTTTGCCCCAAAAACAATACTCAGCTTGCTTATGTATAAGCCATCTGTATCGAGCCCTGCTGGTACAATACGTTATCAATTTTATATCTGTTGAAGAAAAGTTCGAACTACAACGTTTGGCCCTTCGGTCCTGGAATAATTTCATACCATCGATGAAAAATTATGGTTAGTCAAGATGAATGTAAAGCTTTCCTACGAAAAAACGATTTGTAAGTCAACACCAAAAAATGAAGTGTTTCCACAATTTCCATCAAAAAATCCATGGAGAGTGAAGGCAGCCAAGAGAGGAGATCCAACTTTCCCGCTAAAAAGGCTCGGATGTATAGACTACTACAGAACAGACACGGACGGCTGATCGGATTGTTGTTCTTCAAAGATTCCTCAACAAAAACGGAAACATTCGAAGTTTATATACCATAATTCTATGAGCAACATAAGTGATGGTTCCTGAAAAATTCGTATCAGAGTGTATTTGGTCATAAACTTAATCTCTGTTGATTTGTTGGATGAAGAGCTTCGCAATTACTGCCTTAGATGGAAATGAATTCACACATATCTTCCAGATCCATCATCTAGTTTGCAATTTGCAACTATAAATAATATTGGAAAAATGCAGAAGAGAACTTTTTGAACTGCATTTGGTCGATTCCTGTTTGGAAAGAACAGATGTAACATGGACCCAATAAAGGTTTTGATTAATGAGCAGCCTGATAGATCCAAGTGGATGGATACACGTTCACTTATCTGAGACTGACAGAAACTCGGAAAAAAAATCCAAAGCATTGAGCTATAAAACGTATAGACTATTTATGGAAAATTGAAAAGATTAAGATTTCCTTCCCTCGCATGTAAGAGGAGCCCATCCCTTATCTCCAACATCTACAGTACCATTGTAAAAAAGATAAGATGAGACCTTCATCTTTGTCGGAGAGTGATCTATCGCCCAGCGACTGAAAAGTCATGCATGGCTCAGCGCGCGAAAAAATTCCGAGCATGAGATTTCTGAACTCGATAGGACCGCAGATAGACCCTTTGTCGCCGTTGAGGTGGCGAAAGGGGTTGGAGGTGAACGGAGAAAGCGCGTTGACGGTCGGGAAGAGTTTCCTATAGAGATTGTGTGCTTTGGAGTTGCACTTTGAAAGTGAACGGCTGGTGCCAACCGAAATCGATCGGAACTGGATTCACTCTGCCGTCGGAAAACGTTTTCGCTTTGGTAAAATTCTGTGGCAGGGCTTTGGTAATGTGATGAGAAGGGACCTGAATAAGTGCAAAAGCTCCAAAAGCCAGCTTGTGAGTAGATTCAAATCAGTCATGTGTATCTTTGACTAATTTTATTTTTTAATTTAGAATCTGGCACAGACAATTCCCGTGTCTTGCTGCCCACAGCTCACAAATGGTCCTAAGATTCTAGTTTTAACATTTGCATTCATCGAAGCGCTTGATTCTGTTCTCAGGCTTTCTGTTTAAGAACTGTATAGTTGGCGCAGTGGTACAGGGCGCCGCTGAGACCAAATGGACCAAGGTTCGATCCCAGCCTTAGAGGCGAGTGCTTTTCACGCTTCAGGAACGGCTTTTTCTCATCAAAAACAAACTGGTAAGTCCAAAGTAGAGATAGTAGATCCTCTCCATGTGATGGTGGGCATTCGTTCAACATTGTTGTAGAACAGAATGCGTTATGAGGATTCTGGAAAGACCAGATTTCTTATATTTTACCTCACAACTTTATTCTGTGATCTTAGTAAACGAAAAAGGTTTTCGCTTTTCGTGGGCATTCGATCAGAATTGTTGTAGGAATGCCTTATGAGGATGAGACCAGATTTCCGATGTCTTTATCTCATAACTTTCTTCCGTGATTTCTTCCGTGATTCTAGTAAACGAAAAAAGTTTCGCTTTTTGCTCCAGCCTATTAGGATATTTGCTGATACATTCTTTCGAACGTTTCAGCAACGACTGTCAGCCCATCATCCTGTATGGGTCTTGAGTTAGGAAGATTGTGATATTAAAACTAACCTCTGATGCACGCTAGTAGCACACTATACCTAGGCTTTTTGAAAATTCTGACCTCAGCATAAATTCAGAAACTGGAAAAGGACATAGATTGTATTTGTCGCACTGTCTCCACCTTTCTGACTGCTATACGCACTGTTTCTGAGATTGTGCATACCAGGAGTTACGTTAAGGCCGCGATGGGCACGGTTGAGTAAGAGATTGGGGAGGGATTCATCTCTTAGTCATTGCGAAGGCAAACCACTGGCACTTGTATTTAGAAATGAAACTTGATACACTTGCAGAGACTACGTGCACTGGGTTCGAAGAGCTAAATCTGCAGAGTTTCGTATGTGAACAAAGAGTGCAGCAAATCCAGCAACGCAGCTGCGAATGCTTGTACTTTTGGTCAATGAAGCAAAACGTGGATTAAAGAATAAAGAGTATGACGAGCTAGGTACGTAGGACAGATGTTTGTAATGCGGCAAACGCACTGTCGATGTTTCCTCACTCTGAAAATGCGCACTCTGCGTAAGTACTTAATAAGGGTAAAAAAATTAGGAGCTTTGAATGTTTTGATTCAGTCTTCAACAGTCATAAGTAGCCACTGCAACAAAAGGACCGATTGGAGAGCTGAGAGTAAGTGGCAGCCCGTGACCAGTTCTTTCTCGGAGTATTTTATGATTTTGGCCTTCAATTTATATTGGCAGAAACATTCATTGCTTGAGTTTCTTCTTTATTCTACAATTCACGTAAAAGAAATATATCAAGTTTTTTTTAATAGTCGTACGGGTAAATTTTTTTTGCTCAACAGACTTGGCAGTAATCATCAAAGGATTTTTTATGTTTCCCATATGTTTCACAAAAAAAAAACTAAAAAGTCGAGCTGATCAACTTTTGATTAGAACTGAAGCCAACTTCGACCTTGTTATTTGAAAGGAAGGACATCGAGCTGATTCATAGGTTATGGATGGGATTAAAGCAATGGACGAGTTTTCAAGCCTTATTCGCATGAAATCTTTTCGAAAAAAATTTCAAACTGACTTCCTCTGTTTTTTAGCTTGAGAAAGCAAAAAGACTTCTGATTTCAAATCCATAACGTCATCGATCTTACAAATACAGCCTCCAAAACTGAATTAGCATTTTCTGAATGGTACCGAGTTAAGAAATATGCTCAGAATCAAGTTGTTGAGTTGTTAAAGCAACTCTACTAGAACCAGGTGATGCTGGGCCATCGTATACGTACTTGCATCAATTGTCCGCAATTATATCAGAGCAAAAGAGTATGTAGAACAACTATTTGAGCTTAGTTCCTGCTCATTTCCAATTCTACCGCTTCGCTGATCATCGTATGTGTTGTATGAGCGAGGCCTATATATACCACTAGCAAACGATGAAAGAGAAAAAATGAAATGTTTGGAGAGCAAGCTGACTCTTGTCACTGATAGCAGCTTCTTGAGCTGAATTGATATTCATGTACATGTAAAAGCACAAAGTTTGTGCGGATTTTGATCAAAAGTTTTTTATAGAATCCTTTGCGCTTGAAACAATTGAGCTGAAGTTCTGCGCACACTTATTTTCGACACCGTAGATGGTTTTAGGATACGTATTGAGGTTCGCTGAAGCATTTTCTCGATTTATTATTTTTTGAACTTGCAATGAAAACAGATATTAGATAATAAATATAAGTTTGCGGTGCAAATATAACGATTAGAACTGGACCAATTTAGAGGTGAGCCTATGCTGCTACAAGGCCACTTTCTGTGCAGTACGCAATTCACTTAGTACGGAGTGACCCTCCCCTCCGTAAGTAGATTGCAACGGAGGGGAGGGTGAAGATCGCGTGGGCGGGGGAGGGGGGGGGGCATCGGTGAGGATAAGAAGGTAAAACGTCAAGGGCAAATTTAGAAGCTGAAAGGAGACTAGCAGTAAATTTATTTCTGCCAATCCCAGTTCTCCCTGTCTGTACAACAGATGAGGCCGTCGCCCGGACGAAACCGATCTCGTAAGCCAGCTAGGCTTTTAAAGTTTCGAAAAGGCATACTGACTTTTATAGCATCTCAACCAGAAATGAGCAGCACATTCGTTCAAAGCACTTAACAACGATTCACTCAAAAGATGCGCTCACTTCCGTTAACCAGATTTACACCCTCGCCTTTGCGCTGTTGTCATTTCGAGACCTATGTAAGCCTTGATTTCAGTCTGAAGTCTAGATATCCAAAAGACCATCTTTTTGAAGTTTTTATTTTGTTAAAAACAAGCAGAAACACATGTGCACAGTTCGTGTATCAGTCTGGTTTGCAGTTCAAAACAAGTGAAGAGGGAATGCTGGGTGGACGGGGTTGAACCTACACCTACTAATAGAGGCGTGGTTGCTAAAGAACGAGGGACGACAATGCCTCAAAATGATTCACTGAAAAACGCTAAAAAAATTTTTTTTTGTTACGAAAGTTGTAGCTAATATACGTTTATGCCAGTGGCGATCGCAGGATTTCCGAAAAAAAAAATTTTCAAATCAAGGTATGTGGCTAACGCCACGCACTCCAAAACTTTTTTTGAGATGATTTTCAAAATTTGCGGACACATGACCCCAAAAATCTAGAAAAGGGGGTGGCGGCAGCCACGCCCCGAAAAACTTTTTTACAAAGCTGATTTGAATTTTTTAAAAATTTTTGAAAATTATTTTGATTATTCACAAGACTGAACAAGTCATTTGCACATTTTTTTAACCCGTCTAAGTAGATTCCAAAATTTTCGCGACCCATTCTCGGGGAGGGCGGGGGGGGGGGGGGGGGCGGCGCTGTATATGTGGTAAGCAGCCTACATAATTTCCGTGACCTTATGACAAAAAAATTTTCCTGAGCCAAATGCTTGATGGTCAAAAAGTTTAGACAATCGCTATTCACACTCCCTATTGCTAGGTTCGGGAAGCTATTTCAAGTCATTTTGTAACGTAAGATGTCTGTCTCATATTTTCAGGGCCAAGACTCGTTTGCTTTCCTATAAATATACCAAAACTTATATCGAGCCGTTTTGGCTGTGAAACAGAGCTCAAATTATTCACATTGATTGTCCTGCTAAGGAAGTCGCAAGGCGTCAAGTACTAACATAAGAGAAATTCGTGAGATGGCCGTTTCGCACGACAGTATCCAACCACTTCTGCGCGATTTGTCCAAATGCGTGGCGCAACCTGCAAATCTCTCCTACGACTTCCAGCTTGTCAAGCGCCTTGTACGGAACTGTTCTAATAGCATTACGGTCTTCATTTCAGCCTACACTCAAAAGTTATTATCACTTACTAGCGCTACCAGTTGTGATGGGTTGCTTAAAAAATAACATTTTTCAACGATTTTTTTCGCTTTTCTTTTTCCCGCAGCAAAGAGAATTCGAAAAACGGTTATTTGTTAGATGTTTGCGCAGTTCTCACGTCCTATCATCCCTTTTATTTAAATTATAATTCCAATCAAAAAACCGTTATTTTATTGTAAAGTTCAGTTACAAGAGTGAAAATGCGATACGCGCCGGTTATTTCGCAACTCGAAGCTCTAAGCTTTTTAGGGGAAACAGCTACAAAAAGCAGAAGGCACTCCACAATAGAATGACCTTACTTGAGATATTCTTGAGAGTAGAGTATGATATGCAACTCCATGCCGTTTTGCAAGGAAGCTTGCTTTGGTATAAAAACAACAATGAAAAAAGAAAAAATTTCTTAACGGTTATCAACCAAAAAAGCCTGATGTGGATTGATATATGCAAAGAACTACCGACAATGTGATTTTGAACTGCCAAAAATACAGAGCTTCACTATGCCAAAGCTTTCGCTCGGCAGCGAAAAGCAAAAAGAACACTATACAGATAAAGAACACTAGACATCTGCCTTGGGTTGGAAGCCCTAAAAAATGCTTCGAACATACCCCAGCAAAGTAAAAGTTAATGTTTTCATGTTTTCTAAACAAATGCGTCACATGTAGCCTGAAAATTCAATATATCGATCTGCAGCGACTGTAGATTACGGTAGCTTAATGCAAATCTAGCGAATCAAGGCGACTTTCCATGCTTCCAAAATTCTAAATTCTGCTCATCTGAGCCTCAATTTTAGCGCCATTTGCAACGACCTATGTCAACAAAAAGAATGCAACCAAGGATGAGAAGTTCAAGAGAAGAGAGAGAAACTGTATGACTTCTTGAAATAAGATTAGTTTCGTCAAGATGCCTTTTCTTTGACTGCCAACAAAGAGGCTTATCGTGCTGCATCGTAGTTTGCCAAGGCTAGGTGATTTCTTCAATCATAAATATAAGTAGCTGCTGCCATCTTTCACGCAATTTGAAGACGAATTGTATGTGACCGATGACTACATTGTAATCAGAGCGTATTAAAGGCAAAAAGGTAAGTGCTCTATGAAATGATGCTGTGGACTAATTTACAACAGTGAAGCTAATTTGTCGGGGTCAAACAGATTCGTATAAACATGGAAAAAAATTTATATTTTCGGAGAAAAATGCTTGTAAATGATTATTCATCACGTAAGTTGATTTATGACTATTCAACACCATTGATAATTCATACAAATCTAAATCAAAGTACAAATACGTTGCTTAGATCTCCCATGCTTTCTTTCTTACCAAGAATTTCCAGGGGAAATTCGTAGATTCTAAGATCGATTTAGGTTCGTTAACATTGTAGTCCATTCCTCATAAAATAGTACAAAACTCAGTGTCAATTTCCATTTCTATCTGGATACCCTTGGATTCAAGCCCAAACGAAGCAGTAGCTTGAAATTACTTTTACGGAGGTTTGGTGCCCCTAAGAACAACGGCGAGGGTAGAGCGGAATGATTACAATGCTTGTGATTGAAAAAACGCAGCAAATGCTTAAATATAACGTATGAAAGCAGAACAGGGTGAGATTATTGCACTGTTATGGACATCTAACAAAAACCAGAGTTTAGAGAAACGCGAAGTTAATTAGTCTTTTGACTCTGAAGGATAGTTTTTGTGGCAAGAACTAACCAAGGAACTGTGTAATTCGGAAAGGGAATCCTCCGCGTACCGTATGCCGGCAAATGCGGCAAGCAGGCTGTTTTCATGGCCTCTGAAACATTTTATGAAACTGGTTGTGTGTGTCTTCGGTCTCTCTCTTATATTAGTAGGCACACCTACACACATACGATGCAGAGCAGAGCATCGCTTATCGCAGAAAGTGCATAACGAAAGCGGTAGAGTGTGATTGTGAAACGGCGCTACAGTACGAAGAACCGCCGGAGACGCAGCCGATCGAACGGCGATGAAAATAACGCGATGAACCCGGAGATGAGGTGTCTGTCGGGCCGCGATCGGTGCTGACTGCAAGAACTCAGCAGCAGAGGGCACGGCAAGGGCAATCCAACACAAAAGGGCACAGCCCCGGCACGTGAACAGCCACCCCGGCTGCAGCTGTGCCCGACGAAACTGCACACAGCAAACGCGAAACCGTCACCCGCAAACGGAGCAAGGGACTGCGAGAAAACCCGGAAAAATGATGCGGAGCAGTTATGGGTCCTACCGAGTAAATTCCTCAAAGGGTACATCTCCCCAGGATTAATTTTCCAGCTAGAGAATGATGTATAAGTACTAGAAATACGGGTATTCTCTTCTCTTCACCATGAACCTCCAAACCTTTATCTGCAAGCATTGAGAATTTTCTGGGTGTTTTTAGTCGAAATGGCATTCCCAAAGGAGTTGTGTAACATTCTGAAGAGTAATAAACGTTGATTCCAAATCCGTTTTCGTTATACATATACTGAGCGCTTTTGGATGTGAGCGGTTTTCGTGAGTCGAAGACTTGAAGGCTTCGCTGAAAATGTAAAGGGGTCAATGTTGGAAATCAGGGCACTCTTTGTAGTAAGTACTTACTATTCAATATACCCCTACTCACTGATGCCGTTTAAGCGCTGGAAGTAACAATGAATTTGTCCAGATTTTGGATTCTTTTTTTGCTCCAAAAAAGTACTCTCAAAAGTACGCAGCAGATTTCAGAGACAAATCCAATGTAAGCGTTGAACGCTAAATGGTATAGGACCCTTCTAAAAAGGCCACATCGACTAAAGACACCTCCCTAATCAGAAAAAATCCCTTGTTTCCCTCCCTTGTTTACTGCGGCTGCACCTAGTTGAACAAAAGAGTGATGCTTTAAATAATTAGAGCATATACAATCGCTGTTATGGTATGCTGAATTTTTCTGATTTTGCGTCCTTGCTGCTTTTTCAGTAGTCTACGCTATTCACATGACTGTGAGTCTCTTTTGCTTTTTTGTACGCTGCCAAGAAACAAAGGAAACAGTTGTGGCGTAAAAATGTTCGTATTTCTATCCCTAGTTCAGAGATCTTGCGAGTAGTCGTAAAAATAGCTACAGCTAGATGGCATCAAGACTCTCCCACCGATAATTAAATAAGGTGACACCATCTTCTTTTTGATTACCATCTTTGTAGTTGTTACAGTACCACTGATAGAGATTTTGCAAGGCAGCTGTGGCCAGTTTTGGCCCCATATCCAGCAATAGCAGATTAAGCCAGCAGTTCCGCAAGCTATCTGTCCATGCTAACCTTATGGGACTGGGAAGTTTATATTTTGGGACCATCATTCTTTCTGACAAGCAATACTCTCGATTATTCCGCTTGTAAACGTACAGTGCTCAATACCATAATTTAGAGAGAAATAATATTTGTTGAAAAAGGTTGTGGAGATGAGATGCTAGACCTATCTGTAAATAAAAGAAAGAAAAAAGCAAACTTTTCTCTGTCAATTACACGGAGGTGGGTACTGGAAAACTTTTCTCAATTGTCTTCTTCTCCACTTAGTGAATTATAGCCAAAAATCATCGAATCTTTTTTGCTTTAGAGGGCTAGAAATTTAGTTCAGTCTCCTATAGCCCGATACAGCTGCGCAGTTCGAAGTTACAGTAATCTACGATTGCAACAGAGAACATATACGTATTTTCTCATTTTAGAAGATGTTCAGCTGACGCTGAAGCATTAGAAAACGTCCCGATACCGCTGGTTAAACATTCAGAAGCATTTCTCATATGACACCCTCGAACTGCTTTTCTCCTAAATTGAAACCAAAATGCACAGAAAGTGCAGTCAAACTAAAGCCTATAACCATAGGATAAACTCCCCCCTATGCAAACAAATAAGTAAACATCTTCGATAAAACAAGCCGAAAACAAAGTTGGAGTCTCCTTGATGACCTTGGAACAATAGTTCACTTCCAATAACTTCTGCATTATCAGAACTGGACCCAAAAAAGGAATAACAAACGTGACAAGAGAGCTGTCCATAGATAACATTGCAATCAACTAAGAAGGAACTGTAGAATTTCAACAGAGTATAAACATAGGCTAAAGCGTCTCAGATTTTGTTCATAGTGTGTGCTTTTGCAGTATATACTATCATGTCAGTTTTCTAAAAATCCATAAATGGAAGTGCTGTAGGGTATCAGCAAGATAGCCGACGCACAAAAACTGCTGTGATTGTCAGGAAGGTCTTAGCTGGTATAGCCACAGCGAGTGTGACCAGACACCAGCACCACCCCCTTCGCTTCGTCTCTCCAATCACATCTACAGTAACCCGTCGGGTCAAAACACGCTACGGTGTATCAACACAGACACGATTCGATGCGCTCTTCTCTCTCAATTCTGACTTGCACCGCTTCGTCTGCTAGCGAAAGAGATAAGCGGTCTAACTAGAGAGGGGGCCGAACTGGAGTTTGAATCTGAATAGTGAGCTCGAGTACAAGATATTTAGTGATAGAAGTACTGCTGTGTAATTGGAAATAACCATTCAAATTAAGTTCAAGCAAGACTGTGATCCCAAGTCTTTCGTGGACCTGATAGATTAGCTTTCCAAAATTTTTTTTGAATTCAAGAATTATGAATTTCAATAAGTGATCGACCCTTCATCCTTCTGTTGACGCCAATCTCTACTTCTATCATGGATCTGGTCCAAAATTTCTCGCTTAGTACATTCGGATTACAGTGCGAATGAAGAACAATATGGTGCACTAGGAAGAGAGAGAAGTGCGAAGGAGGAATTTGGAAGGGGAAAAAGAAATCTGCAGAAAACGCTTTCAAAAGATTTGAAAAGAACGTAGCTCCACAATTTCTCAAAAATTTTAATGAATGAAAGAGCTTGCAAAAAAAAAATTTTTCTCGGCGGGTATGGAGAGCAAGTCACGAGTGGGAGGCACAGAAAAAATTTGAAATGATGGCGATTTAAGCTGACTCTTTTGAACATTATGAGAAAGTTTCTATATGAACTTACCGAAAACTGGAAAGATCTCCACACATGCTCTGATATATGATTTTCTGCTCATCGCAGCCAAGTTATGCGTATAAAAAGCACTGCATTGCAGCTTACTATCAGGCAGATGATTTGAGAAATAATCAAATAATACCTCTCTTTATGAATTTCAAACAATGAACTGAGGTGGTAGAGTTGTGAAGCAAGATTAACTGGATTATTTTGAGTTACATAACGACAAGCATGATTCAACCTAGAGTCCGAAAGACTGAAGGAGCAATTGCCTAGTAAGTCTCTACCGCGTTAGACGCCATTCACTCACCTTATTATCTCAGACGTCAATCATGCAGGCAAGGAAAACTTCTTTGTATTGTACGTTTTTTACTAAGAAAAAAGTTGTCTGAAGACTATGTACAAACAAGCAATGTATCTTCTAAGCCACCTAAAAGCTGGAGGCTTACTAGAGTGTTTGTCAAATAGCGTGTATCAAATGACAGGACTGCCATAATGAGAAATTTAGAAAAGCAAAAATTAATGATCGTTGAAGGTAGATGAGTCATTTTTGTGCTTTATGCGCACAAGAAAATCGGCATTAGAGTTGATGTGTACAAAAAGCACTAGTGCTTGCAAGCACAGCCAAGCAAAGATTATCTTCAATCTGCATGTTTTGTCAGCTTCATTGCCTTTTAAGCGCCAGAAAATCTCTCAAAATGGATGCGCGAGTTATTGAGGAAAACTTCGAGCCAACTGAAAATCCAGGAATAGAAAAATGAAAATAGGAAAGTAAAACAGAGTGCAGCAAGTAACTTCTAATCTGCAGGCCATCGACGAGGCGACGAGTGTCAAAGTGCAGCAGTCAGCGATTGCACGTACGATCATCTCTCCCCACCAACCGCTCTCTATCGCTAAACCCCTCTGACGTTCACGCTGTCGCTGAAGAGTTGATGCACTGAAAGGACACCAGCTCACGGCAACCACAGCATAAAAGCGCGCTTTGTGAAGTAGCAGAGTTAAGAGCCTAGTGCAAAAATCCGCAGTTGCTCCGCCAACTCCTGTTTTGCAAAAGCGGTGTTCCTTTAGTTGAAAATTCTTGATGTTGAATGCAGGGCTTCGTATGAGGATGGCAAATCACTGACAACATTTACCATTTCCTGCTTGATCGCGGCACTGCGTCGTTTAATTGGAGTGCGCTTTCCTCCTTAAAGCCAGCGTCTCGACAAAGTGTTGAAAACTGGAAATTCACAGCAATGGATACATTTTGTCTAATATGCTTAGACTTAACATAGCTTTATCTGAGCGCTTGAAAGATTGTAATAATTGATCTTACTTAGTGCGGCACGCCACACCTGGGGGGTCGTATTGAGGAGTCAAAAGGGGAGGGGGTCGTAGTTGGGTAATCTGATAATAGTGATAACATGATATTCGTATCCTATCCATAATTATCATGTCAAATAACCCCTGTAGACAAAGTGTGAGCGAATTCTGAAGATTCAAGATACTAGGCTACCTAAGTGAAATGGTCAAATTCCAACATGGTTAACTTTGTTTCAAAGGTGAATTAGCTATCCGTTTTTGCACTCAAGACAAAGCACTACTCCTTCTTTGTCCATCTCAGAAATCCCGCTTCAAAAGACCTCCAAACTGTGGGTTTAGAAGCCAACCAAAATTTCATTTCTCCCATTTTTCGCTTTCAATGGCTGTGCTTCCACCAAATATTACTCAGAGCAAAGAAGAC